ACAATTGACAAGGGGGTGGGGGGGGGCACGCCAGAAAACCCGTTGGACTTTCTCGGTTAACACAGAATCCCGCCAGGTAAGCGGGTCAAAGTCTTACTCACTGAACCACCGTGGTTTAATATAGGCTATTCCTGTTCCCTAACCCTACTCTGATGAATAAAAATATTGTTTATATATATATAACTCTCGTCTTAATCTCTTCTTCTCGCACTTTGAATTTGTTTATTACAATTTATGCCATAACCCCATAAATAAATTTCATTTGTGATGGGCATTTCCTAAACTTATCGTATCTTGCCAAGAATCTTAATAGATTTACTTGTTTTATAATTAATAAACCAAACCTACTCACCAAATGTTTCTTATATTCATGATAAATGATTATAGCCCCCGTATGCCAGAGTAAAAGTTAAAGGGACAGGAGGTAAGATTAGATAAAGAGCTGACAGTTCTCGCTATAATAGTTAAAAAGTAATTTAGATAACACTTAAGGCCCAAAGAAAGGCCTGCGATAGGCAGATTGAGCTCTTGAATAATGCATTTTTAAGTATAAAGTTTATAGACTCAACATACAATAATATAAATTAAATTTTGGCCCCACACAACGTAAGTATTTATTAAGATCAATGAAGTCAAACTGAAATTAAAATTGGATTTGTCGATTAGCAACATTAGCAGAATAGATATCAAATTTAGGTATCACACAACGGAAGTACTTTTGAAATTTATTAAGATCAATCAAATTTAACGGAAATTAAAAGTGCACTTGACGAGTAGCAACTTCAGCAGAACAGAAATTAAATTTTGGCCGCACACAACCGATCAAGTTAAACTGAAATTTAAAAATGGAAATGGCGATCAGCAACTTCAACTATCTGACGTATTGTAATTTAAAGAGGATTCTCAGAATTTCAAAAATAAAATACCACACTCAAAACTTGTTCTGTTCTCCTAGATGAATCCCACGAATGTTTTAATCCGAATTTAGCATCTCGGATCGACTGGTAGTGTCAAACCACTATTTGTTTTTGTTGAAATTGTTTTGAAATGTATGAATTGCTATTCCTTATCGACAAACACGCCACACATCAGGGCTGGGGTCATGGTAATGGGTAATGGTAATGGAATGTAATCATTACATATTTTAAGTAATGGCCATGTAATGAGTAATGGAAGATTTCAAAAGTAATGAGTAATGGAAATGTAATTAATTACATTCCAAAAATCATGTAATGGACAATTACATTTCAATTACTTTTCAATTACATTTTATGGCACATATAAATATAATATTTCCAATATGACAAGCCTCAAATTTTAGAGTACCAAAGAAATAATTAAGTGTATCTGACACAAATCCAATTCATTATAATTTTTAAAAAAAGATTTAAATCAGATTTAACAAATTATAAGAAGAATAAGAAGAATAAGAAGACATTAAACATTTTCTTTTATTACTTTTTATGTAGGACCCTTTTATAATCAATCAATCAATCAATCAAACAGTTAGATTAAAAGAGACAAAGCAAACAATGACCTTCAAGTATCTCATCATGTTATGGTTACTTAAAACTAATATATATTTTGTTTTAGAGTCATTCTGAATAATTTACCAGTTATTATACAATATATTATAGACAAACTATTTGGATTGATTCAAAAATTTAAAAAAATACAGTTAATTAACTATTCTTTTGATTCATTTTTCAAGTCATATGGTGAAAATGTCAGTTTTTGTCACCACTGCCTATCACTATAAAATTTGCCTTGATGTTATAGTTGCTAGAAATGACAATTCATAGTTCTCGCTATAATAGTTAAAAACTAGATAGTGTAAAGGTAATTTGCTGAAAATTTCAGTCAAATTGATCCACTATGAGCCGAGAAAGAAGCGGGTGAAATTTTGGCATAGTCTCGGTCATCATTACTAAAATCATTAATATAAACAGCTTAGTCTCGATTATCCACTTTTATTGATTTAATTATCAACGGCCGTTAGCGGCATATAGGAATCTAATCCAGCCAACATCGAAGGCTAGCCTTGACATCGAGAGTTTATTATGGTCTGGATAAGTTAATTAATGTCTAGTTGATAATTTAGATAACATTTCAGGCCTAAAGAAAGACTTGTAATAAGCAGATTTTGCTCTTGCATAATGCATGTTTAAGTGAATCAAGGATTATTTTGAGTTTGATTTTGTAGACGCTTCATGGCAGAAAAATAAGGTTGTCTTTTTAATTTCTATGAAAAATGTTTTTTATTTATATAATATAGTCATAAAGTAATGGGTAATGGTAATTAATTTCTTTCAATGTAATGGGTAATGGTAATTAATTACATTGCTAAAAATAAGAAAGTAATTGTAATGATTACATTTAAAAAGTAATGGTAATGGTAATGTAATTAATTACATTGGCAATGTAATGGCCCCAGCCCTGCCACACACAGCAAATATAATGGTTATAATATTAAAAGTTCCCAACAAAGTACATTAGGATTACCCATAGGCTCTTCCAAAGTATAGAAAAAAAATGAAATGGGCTTTAAACGTCATACTTTTTCTACGAAACAGGGATAAGAAAGAAGGGCATACGTCATCTAGTGTGTTATGAAGGCAATTTGTCCGGATAGCACAGATTTTGCCGACTCTTCAACAAATTTACTCTGTCAACGGTTCTTCTACATACACACCAACGTATATAAGGGATTCCGCGTTTTCGTCCAATCCAAACAACTAGATGCCTTGTCCTACCAGACCGTCCGTCCTAGACCACTGACATACGGACATCAACCTGGAAAATCCCGGGAGACTTTCGCGACCAACACCGGGATCGAACTTCGACCCATCCTGGTAAGTGTTTGGATATCTTACTCACTGAGCCACCGCATCTCCCAATCATACATACCATCTGATATCACTTCCCGTTTACTTACAAGAACACATGGCTAACACTGTAAATCTTAAAATGGTCAAGGTGCGTCTTTAATGGCTCCACTCAAATTAATCTTAAAATAGCGAGGTAATAATTTAAATTACATATTGAAAATTTTCCCAGGATAATGACTTGAACAGATGCTTTATTTTACGGTGTATTTGTAAAATTAATCAATCTCAAATTTGAGTTCTTGTCAAAGTTTTTTATTTTTAAACAACTCAAAAATAACAAGATAAGTTTAAATTGGTAATTTACAAAACTCTCATTTCCCTAATTGCTATATTCCATATTTACAGTATGTTTTACTTCAAATATAAAACTAAAAGTGCATTCTACCACCTCAAACGGTGGGTTGGGTTGCATATTGTCTATGCAAACCATACTAAACTAAACCTGCCTGTCTACAGTTAGCTCCGCTTGAGAACAGACACTAAGCTAGTTAACCGACATTTTGAATCCTAAATCGACGATTTTAGTCTAAAATACTAAGTATATTTTGAGATGTACTTATTCTGCTTCCATTTAATGAAATTGAATCGATTTATTTAGTCTTTGTGTGTATGCTAGATGTGAAACGGAGTAGAACCGCATTACAAAGCAATATACTATTTTTTTTAGATATGGCGGCTATTCAGGAAAGAGATTTATTCTCAAAGTATGAAGTAGGTGGCTCTCTATGTGCAGAATGTATGCAAACCTGTTAAACTATAAATAGGCCTATGCTCACTCTACGGACCGAAAGTTGCCGGGGGTTCAAAGAAGATTTTTATTTTTGTTTTTAAAAGTAATACAATAGGATTTGGACAGTAATATATTCTAAACTAAATAGATATAATACGACGCACATTTATTATTTTTAACAAAGCCTTCAATCTCAATCAAAATGACGCATTTTTGACATTTGGCAGTTTTGGAATTGGGCAAAACAAAGCCACCGCACATCAAACTAGTATGCCGTCCAGACGTTTAAAACTAAGATGATTTAAAAAAAACCGACTGTAGTTGTTAAGTCAGTTAAACTTTGTCTTCTGAAAGAAATTGTTAGGAAAATAAATCTGTTAAAAACCACAGCTCACTACCTGTCAGAACGGACAGTGATCTAGGGAACCAGCACCTTACTCAAAGCCGGCACATTACTCACTGAATCATTGTGGCTTCACGAGCTTTGTAAGACGTCAATGAGCTATCGTCCTAGTTCTGCATCGACTGGGCTAATGAAGATGGACATACACTTTACAGTGTGCTATGGCCTACTCTTATATCGAATTCCAACCTTCAAGGGTTATGTGTACATTGGGCTTTGGTTCTTTGTCCCACCGGAACGACTTGCACTCCTAGGAACTTTCTCTGTCATCACCGGGAGTAAACTAGAGACGTCTTTGTTACCGAGTCAGAGACTTAAACACGGAGTCGCCACGGTTCCGATACGGAAATGAGATGTGTATGTATGTCCTAAGAAAAAAAGATTTTAAATGAAACGCTAGGCTAGCTGTTAGCTTGGTGGAAACATTTGCAAGCGAAATCACCCAGTTGGCCCATAATCCGCCTATCACTCTGTAAAATGGGGTGTAACGTTCTACTCTAGAAGCTTCTGCACCGACTGGGGTATGAATACGGGAATACGTCATAAAGTTTGCTATTCGAGAAATTGTGCATGCACAGTGAAGAATTCCCAATGAAATGATGTTTAACGTCGCACTGGTCTATCCCCACTGGACTAATGGAGACGGACATATGCCATACAAGGTTCTAAGAGGGACATTTTGCTCGAAAAAGCGGTCGAATGATCTTTTACGTGCGCACCAATGTGTACGCGGGACTTCGGTTTTCCGTCTCATCCGAACGACTATACGTTGTCCCTTGACAGGCCTTCTGTCCTGCAATACTGACAAGGGGGAAACACGCCGGGAAATTCCGATGAACTTTCTCGGGTCACTCCGGGTACAAGCGAGTCAACGTCTTACCCACCGAGCCAGCGTGACTCCCATTACTAGAGATAAAGCAATGTTTTCAGACTTAAGAAAGGGATGCTAATTGGGCAGAGTCATTACAAAGACAACAACTAAAAGATATATTCTGTATTCCATTACATAATTAAAAATAGAATATATAAAGTAACAAAGTGACAAATTGTGCAAAAGAAGAAAAAACGAAGATATACAATTTAAATATTATGAAAATAATTAAGTCTTAATATATGCTCTTCAAATAAAATATATTGTAATATAATAATAAATCTAGGTCTAAAATCAATGTTAACTGGAGTCTAAGTCACAAAAACTTACAAAAAAATATTTTCAGAATATAGCTTTTTGTTAACATTATTCAAGACCTAAACCTGCCGATTACACGTCTCGCTTTATGTCTTTATATAAACTATTAATTAAACATTTTTTTTAACTTGCCAAGACCATAATTAGCTCTTGGTGAAATCCGATGCTCGAGATTTTCAACAGATTTAAATACGATTGACAGTTTATGATTTAATTTAAAAATGGCATTCGAGACTACACTGTTCTTCTAACGGCGATAACCCGGCTCAGAATGAAGTTATTTGACTGAAATTTTCAACATATTCCCTTTTCATTATCTATTTTTTAAACTATCATAGCGAGAACTGACAGCTCTTTATCCAAATCTTAAAGCCTCAACCATTGAAATGACAACATCCTTAGAATATTATAGTTTTAAGTGTTCATGAATAAGACCCCAGCTCTATTTCATGTTCTAAAATCCGCCACAAACAATGTTTTCTGTGATCACGAAATACACGTGCGAAATTGATAAATTATTATAAACATTGTTTGCGGTAAATTTAAAAGGACAATCATGATTTTAAGCTAACTTGGTTTCTACAAACTAATGATTAACTAAGAGTAAATAATAATAGAAGTATGTGTAACTATGGCAACTAGAATACTGGTTCTCTAATCCCAGAAAATCGGAAATTTTAGTTCAATTCAAATAAAAAATACAAAACTTCGTACGTTCTTTATTAAATCAAGTAACAATTTTACAATCCAATTGGTGGTGAAAGGAGACAATTATATGAAGGCACATTCATTCCAAATTTCCGTTCATCTGAGATTTTTGAGACTGAGAATTTTATTAAAATGTATAAAATATAATAATATTATAATGGTTTTCTTTTAAAATAACCCCACTTGTTTCTTCAAGGCCGTCCTCTTCCATTGTGGTTTGGTTTCATAATCTTGTTTGGACATTTTAAAAACTTCTTTGAATTCTGTGTCTGATAAATGTTTCTATAAGAAAAATGATTTTCTAATTTTAATTTTTATTTTGTTTATAAAACAGAGCAAATCACTACCCCCTCTTAAGCTTAATCTATTATAAGATAAGATTACATGTAAGTTTTTATTGTATCAACACGCCCATATATTATTATGAGGCGGATACAATATGTTAAATAATAATAATAAAAAAAAAAAGGAAAAAGAAAACAGCACAAAAATTCATAGTTTGATGTACTATGAACCTATTCTTGAGTCATCGCACTCGACAAACCTCGGCAGATTCTATACATCTAGTCTCGGCTGTATGATGGTAAGTGATATGTACCTACGCCTATCGCGTCTTCATTAGCCCAGTATAGGAGCAGAACAGTAGGACGCTAAACCCCATTTCATTTCATTTCACCTACGCCTATGCATTTGCGATGCGGCACCGGTTTACTTATTATGAAAATTTGCCGCCTTCAAAAAGAAGTTATGAAAATTGCGTCGTTCGAACCTTGTTTAGAATTTTCAGTGCAAAATTGTCATCCTTTGAAGAAAATCTGATAAACTTGAACGAAAAACAGCTTCAGACTTTGAAATATTTGTATGATAAAACATTCTTCAAAGGCGTCGTCATGAGCAACGCCGTTGGTAATCCGGGACTTTCATAGACAACATGCTTTATTGTTTACAGCGCACCCACTAGATAATTCGACGACCCCTACGACAGATTGGTTAGAATGTTATGCGGCCCGCCATGGAAATCATGACATAAACAAGATGGAAGTAACATACTAGTAAACATATAACTAACTCACAAACGTTCACCAAGACCTGACAGAAAATGTACATTCAAACGCTATAAGTTCAGTTGCGAGGACTGTTTTGGTGGTCTAGTTCCAAACGTGCGAAAATAACGTGGTTCCTTACCTCCCTTGATGCTGGATCCACACCAGCGGGTACTGGTTTTTGTAGTAATACCTTATATGTATATGTCTTTGAGTAGTTAGCTATCTCCTGAAACGTATTAAACGTGTGCATTCCTTATAGACTGTATGACGATAGTACAAACATTTTAAAGAAAAAGCGCGGTATGTACCTACATATATCTCACAAAGTGGTGGACGCACGTTTTGGTTACAGAGATTAACAAATAAAATGGGGGGGGGGGGGGGGTAAAGTCCCACCTTTCTGCACCGACCGGGAAAATAAAGACGGGGCCAGAGAGTTAAATGTTTAGGGTAAGGCGTACAAACCTTTGCGGCACCAAATTGATAGCAGCGGAAGCGTCCTACATTATTCAATGAAAAACAAAAGACCAAAGTCCACCACATCTGCTAGATTGTCGGAGGAATATATCCGGGCGGATTTTTGACCATATCTGATCCATTAAACATAATTAACTGTCTGTGCAAAACAGGCCTCGTATAGAATTCCTAAAAGGTGCATTATGTAAGATTTAGATAAAGAGCTAGCTGTTCTCGCTATCATAATTATAGTTCAAGTATAGATAATGCAAAATGAATATATTAAAACTTTCACTCAAATTAAATCATTAAATGACGATCGTGTTTCAATCCGTTTAAATCTCCGCCATGCGATGTTCTAGAGAGTTCAATAATGGACTTGTCATGTGAATAAATGTCTAAATTTGAAGCCAAAATAAAGAACTGCAATAGGCAGATTTACCTCTTTAACAAGGCGTGTGGGTGGGCGCCAGTTTGTATAGGCCTATCCACGAGTTTCACAAATCAAATTCAACAAAACCGACACCGCCTTTTCTATTTCCGTTACAAGGCATACAGGGGTAATTATAATCGGGGTGGGGGTGGGCATTCTGTATAGGCATATGCACCAGTTTTACATTTAATCCCATCCAATCAAACGCTGGTATACTTACTTCTTGTACGGACGTCACTTCCGTTTCTTCTTCACCAAATTCTTCTTTTAATTCTTCATAGGTTTTACCTTTCTACAAGACAAAGTGAATTCGTTTACAGTTTCTACAAGGCAAAGTGAATTCGTTACACAGTTTCAACAAGACAAAGTGAATTCGTTATACAGTTTCTATCGTTATCAACACAGTTTTACCAGATACTAGTTTGGCAGTTATAACGAAATGAACGGGTTCTTTTACGTGCACGCCAATGTGTACACCGGACATTCGTTTTTCGTACAATCCGAACAACTAGACGATGTCTTTACCAGGCACACCGGTCTGCACCAGTAACATGGGGAAACCGCGCCTGAAAAATCCCGAGGAACTTTCTCGGCCAACACAGGAAGCGAACCCGAAACCTCTTGGTTAGTAAGCCAGCGACTTACGCACTGGGCCACCGCGGCTACAATTAGAGCTAAAGGATCAGGGATTTAAATGAAATGGGGTTTAACTTCCTACGTTTCTGTACCAACAATAACTGGACTCGTTAATGTTATTCTATAAGTTACATCCCGAAAGAAGATGAATACTAAGTCAACTTACACTCCATTTTTCTGGATCCCAGCCATGAAAATGACCTGTAAAATTTGGTGGTTCGAACCCTTGTTTGACCTGGGCTATCATAGTTGTATCTGGTGTCCGGCCAGCTGGATCTGTTCTAATATATTCCATAGCAGCATTTAAACTCTCTTTCTTCTCTATACGATTAGCACCTTTACCAACCCATACAAATATCTGAAATATAAAACATTAGCATCTTTAATTACCCATACAAATATCTGAAATATAATCACTAACAAGTTTATCCTACTCTTACAAAGATCTGAAATATAAACATTGACATCTTTACCCATCCATACAAATATCTGAAATATAAACACTATCTTTACCCACCTACCCAAATATCTGAAATATAACCATGTTTACCCACTCATACAAATATCTGAAATATAAACATTTACACGTTTACCCACCCATACAAATATCTGAAACATAAATATCAACATCTTTACCCATCCATACAAATACAAATATCTGAACATTAGCACCTGTGTCTGAAACGGCCAAGTCGTGCATAAGACGGGCGAGGGTGGGGATACATTAATAAACAAAACATTGTTCATTTTTAATATAAAAAATTCCGGTTACGAAAGTCAAATGGACACAATATGTAAACTGAATAGCCTACGCCAAGGCGTTATTCTAACCAAAGCCGTATATAGGGCTTAGATTCTAACTTCACAAAAAGAGTGACGTAGGAGTGAGTCTGGCGTTTTGCGAAGTTTAGTCATAGAAATAAATATTTATATATTTCTAAGAGTTTATTAACTTACTTCATCAAAAGTATCCAATAACATGACGTCATCTTCTACCAAATCCTGCAAAGGTAAAACATGGCAACAAATACAACACAATAAAACTACATCATCATAAACTAAATTTGTTATAGTCTCATCTGATAAAATGTCCGCCAAGTGTTCACATCCAGGGAAAAGTTGTCAATAAATATACCGGAAATGAACTTCACATCAACACAACAAGTCGGCCATTGTGATATGGATAATTATTTATGGGAACAACGGATGTGAAAGCAATAGATCTCACGCTATTATAGATGACCACGTGATTCATTTTTATAATTTAAAAACAATATTTCTACTTTAAACATGCATTATGCATGAGCAAAATCTGCTTATTACAAGTCTTTCTTTAGGCCTGAAATGTTATCTAAATTATCAATTAGACATTAATTAACTTATCCAGACCATAATAAACTCTCGATGTCAAGGCTAGCCTTCGATGTTGGCTGGATTAGATTCCTATATGCCGCTAACGGCCGTTGATAATTAAATCAACAGAAGTGGATAATCGAGACTAAGCTGTTTATATTAATGATTTTAGTTACGATGACCGAGACTATGCCAAAATTTCACCCGCTTCTTTCTCGGCTCATAGTGGATCAATTTGACTGAAGTTTTCAGCAAATTACCTATACACTATCTAGTTTTTAACTATTATAGCGAGAACTACCATCTCTTTATCTTATTTCCCATAATGTATCTTTAACAAAGGAAAGACAAGGTTGTTTTTAAATAAATTAAGAACAATATTTCTACTTTAACAAAGGCAAGGCAGGGTTGTTTTTAAATAAATTAAGAACAATATTTCTACTTTAATGAGAGAGCGAGAGAGAGAGAGAGAGAGAGCGAGAGCGAGAGGGTTTAACGTCCACTCGACACAAACTAGGTCATTTCGGGACTAACATGTGGTTTAATTTTATTTCAATAATTCGCTTGCGCGTAAGGTCTTTAGCAGTGGGAGGAACCCACGAAGCTGGATCGGCGATCCTACTCCTTGTCACGTACAACCGGGGATTCGAATACTTTAACGAAGACTGGACGTGTTTTAGATTTTAAAAATTAAAAACAATATTACTCCTTCAACGGCTCGCTAGCCTGGAGGTCGGGTGTTAGATCCCTGCATTGCCCGAGAAAGTTCATTCAGATTTTCCGGCGTGGTTTCCTCTTGTCAGTGATGTAGGATGGAGGGCCTGACAAGGACAGCTGTCTAGTCGTTCGGATGGGACGGAAAACCGAGGTCCCGTGTACACATTGGCGTGCACGTAAAAGATCCTTTGGCAGTTGGAATTCGATATAAGAGTAGGCCATAGCGCCGCTGCCCGGGCAAAATTTCCCCCATAGCACACTGTATGGCGTATGCCCGTCTTCATTAGCCCAGGTTAGGAGCAGAACAGTAGGACGTTAAACCCCATTTCATTTCATTTCATTTCATTTCATTTCCTCCAACGTCTCCGAACGTTAGTTGTGATATTTTCAATCCCTTGCCAAGTACAGTATTGTAAAATTTGAATCTCTAATAGGAATATTAGTCAATAATTGGTTTCATTCCTATCAGTATTAACAAAGATGTGATGAACATTTTGGGAGCCACGGTGGCAAAGTGAGTAAGACGCTGGCTCAGCAGCCCCGTCAGTTCATTGGTATTTTTCAGCGTGGTTTCCCCTTGTCAGTCGTGCAGGACGGAGGACCTGACTAGGACAGCTGTTTTGTCGTTCGGATGGGACGATAAACCGAGGTCCCATGTACGCATTGGCGTGCACGTAAAAGACCCCTTGGCAGGGCAGTTGGATTTCAATATAAGAGTAAAGACTAGGTCGTAGCACCGCTGTCCGGACAATATTTCCTTCATAACACACTGTATGGCGTATGGTTGGGGCAGAAAAGTAGGACGTTAAACTCCATATCATTTCATTTGATTTCATTTCATTGCGTTCACCTGAATGTGTTTATACAATATTAACATACAGGTAGATGATAGCCTTGAGTAATCATTATAGCCAATGTTTATAATTAGTAAACATCTACACAGGTGTGTGTTTATATAATCACCATGACGACCACACATGTTTATATATTAATTAACAAACGTGCCTATAATGAAGATGATAAAACCATGATAAACTTTAATATTATACAATTAACCAATTTTCTTTTTTCTAAGCAAGTGCTCGCGGGGTAAATAATACGTTTAGATTTCGATATGTTAACAATCATCCTCGAACTACGTTTACTGATTGGATATCTCAAAAATATAACGTACATAGAATCAAATTACTGGGTTATTATACACATAGCGCCTCGTTTCAAAGATGAAAGAACACTTATTATATGTATAAAAAAAAAATATAATTGTTGAGTTATTGGTATTGATGCGTCATTGGTATTTTTCGCAGAAATATCAAATTTATCACGGCTTAATCTATACTAACATGTATACCTGGATTCATTATTTAAAGATATATTATGGGAGATTCGGTAACGAGTTGGCAGTTCTCACTATAATAGTTAAAAACTAGATAACGTAAAGGCAATTTGGTGAAAATTTCATTCAAATTGATCCACGATGAACCGAGAACTAAGCGACTGAAATTCCCATAAGCCTTGGTCATCATTACTAAAGTCAGTACGATAAACAGCATAGTCTCGATTATCCATTTAACCGTTTAATCGAGAAGGAAAGTTATGCAGTAAATCGGCTTACAATCCACTAAAGATCGCAGGCTAGCGATGCCATGTAGAGTTGATTATGGCCTGGATAGATTAATTAATGTCTAATTAATAATTTAGATAACAATTCAGGCCTAAAGAAACACCTGCAATAGAAAGATTTAGCCCTTGCATAATGTATGTTTAATATTAAATTAAGAAAATATCAATAAATTTTAACGGACAACAAAATGGTTGTGAAAGGAATCTTTTGTGATCAACAGTTGAATAATTCAGTGTTTTCAACAGTAATATAGGTCATTAATTATACATGATAAATTGTCCGTAGACACAATAAATTTCAATTCCACATATCGTTGTATATACTGAGCGGAATCGAACCATTTCTGAACTGATATTCCTGATATTAGAGATTCATCTTTTACAATATTGTAGCTTGCCAGTGATTCTATAACGCTAAAATGATGCATTGTGGCTTTAATAACCCGAACAATTTTTACATAAAAAACCCCATCTATTATTCAAAACGAATTAAAATCCCCCAAAATGAGCATATATTTTAAACAGGAACAGACAATACCGTCATCGCCGCCATCTTGGAATTGTCCGTCAATCGACCAAAGAACAAGAGTCACTCGAATTGGCGGAACAATAAGGTTATGAAATCAGTTTTTATAAGAAAGAGTACAACCAGCAAATTGTTGAAAGCCCAACCCTAGATATCTTAGACCACCCAAAGTTTCTCCCCAGTGGTTATCAGTAATAAAAGTTATCTTAATGTCTATGAGTCTGTGTAACGACCGGTAATAAAATGTTTTCACTATTAAACATCTACTTAACATATTGTCTGTACATCATCGTACAGCGCGGGGGTATGTATTCCAAAAATAAAATGAGATTCTAGGTCTTACATTTCTGTATCAACATGGATAATAAGAGTAAGGGAGACAGTTAAAGTTGCAACTCGAACCAAGAGTAAGCCGTAGCGCCGCTGTTCAACAAGCTAAACCACTGCCCGCGTGCTCTGGCTTGTATGTTGTCGAGCACCTGTTCAGATCATCCTTGTAATCTCGGCTTTATTTCATGTTGTCGAGCACCTGTTCAGATCAACCGTGTAATCTCGACTTTATTGCATGTTGTCGTGCACCTGTTCAGATCAGCTGTTTATCTATTGGTGTATAATGAACTATATAAAACTACAACATGTTTCTGTTCGATCCCTGCATTGGCCGAGAAAGTTCATCCAGACTTTCCGACGTGGTTTCACCTTGTGAGTGGTGCAGAACGGAGGACCTGACAAGGACAGCTGTCTAGTCCTTCGGATGAGACGAAAACCCGGGGTCCCGTGTATAAATTGGAATGCACGTAAAAGATCCCTTGGCAGTTGGGATTCGATATAAGAGTAGGTGATAGTGCCGCTGCCCGGGCAAAATTTCCCTCATAGCACACTGTATGGCGTATGCAGAACAGTAGAACGTTAAACCCCATTTCATTTCATTTACAACATGTTTCCTTTTTTATATCGGTGTGTGGTTAAAAAATAAAAAAACTTTACATTGTATTATCCTAAAAATTATTTGAAATGAACGAAAAAATCAAAAGGGGTTTAACTGTTATTTTCATGCACCAACTAGGATAAGGACGACGGACAAAGGCCATGTCGTGTGCTATGGTGAAATGGTGAATCGTTTACCCGTACATCAGTGAAATAATGCTATGAGGGAAATTTTGCCCAGACAGCGGCGCTACGGCCTACTCTTATATCGAATTCCGTCTGCCAAGGGATTTTTTTTTACGTGCACGCCAATGTGTACACGGGATATCGGGTTTCCGCCCCCCCCCCCCCCCCCCCGAACGACTAGACAGCCAGTCTTGTCAGCTCCCCTTCCTGCACCACTGACAAGAGGAAACCACGCCGGGAAATCACGATGAACTTCCTCGGCCAACACCGGGAGCGAACCCGCGACCACCAGACTAGTGAGGCAGGTCATGGGATCTTTAAAAATGCTGCTAATGGTATATGTTAGATCGGAACGACATAACGTTTTTCGTGTCATGAACCAGTGAAACTTTCTCGACAAAAAAACGGGATCGTACTCGGGTCCTCCAGGTTAGCGAGACAGCGCCTTATTCACCCAGACCCCCCCCCCCCCTCGCTTTGGTGAGCCTTACCCAGAGAGCCAATTAACCCTTTTTCCTTTTCGTGGTAATTGGTATTTGGTGCTAAGATAAAAATGATGACCAAATCTTACCTCTTGTGTAAAATCTATAATTTCCTCAACTTGAAATCTACCAGATGCATTGGAACATTGGAATAATCGACAGGGCATATCGCTACTCGCATTCTGTAAAATAAAAATATTATATAACAACCATACCCTTTAAAACTTGATTTAATTACTGGTTTCCTTGATGAGATAACAATAAACACTTAAATTTACTTTACAGATAAAGCCAGTATTGCGATATAACCGATGCCGTGTGTCGACGTCGGCAGAGTAACTGTTCGAATTCCATCTGCTAAGGGATATCCTATTTTCTCAGTCACACAGGACTCGACCCCGATATATTCTATAGCCATGAGTCCAGCATTAAGACTGAGCGAAACACCGTGGTCGTCTACGATTACGGTGGAGCACGGGGGCTCAGTGGGTAGGACGTTGGCTCGCTGTACTACAGGTCCCGTGTTCGATCCTGCGTTGGCCGAGAAAGTACATCGGGATTTTCGGGCGTGGTTCCTTCTTGTTAAGGGACAGCGTATAGTCGTTCGGATAGGACGAAAAACCGAGGTCCTGTGTACACATTGGCGTTCACGTAAAAGATTCGTTGGCAGTTGTAATTCGTTGTAAGAGTAGACCATAGCGCCGCTGTCCGGGCAAAAATTCCCCTCATGGCGTATGTCCGTCTTCATTAGCCCAGTCGGAGCAGAACAGTATGCCGTTAAACTCTATTTTGTTTTCTAAAATTACGACTAACACCTCTAATTAAGGACCGTTAGTGATAGTACGCTTAACCCGAAGAGAACGATTAAACAATTACCTGTAGTCTAGGACCAGTAGGGTATGGTTCCCTTTCTCCAACAATATCCCAGAATTCCTCTGGTTCATCTTCCTCATCTACCATCTTCAAGTCCCTGATATATAAAATGAAATGTAGTTTAACGTCCCGTTGTTCTAGTCTGATTAGGCTAATGAAGACGGGCATGCCCCATGAGATAAATTTTGCAGGGACAGCGGTATACGGCCTACTCCTATACCCAATTCCAACTGCCAAGGGTTCTTCTAAGTGCATACCAACGGGAATACAGAATTGTCACGGTTTGTCGGTTTGTCGTACAATCCGAACTACTATACAATACCCCTTGCCAGGCCCTCTGTCCTGCACCACTGACAAGGGGGAATCACATCGGAAAATCCAAATTTTTAGAAATCCGACTTTCACAAAAAAATCTCTCAAATAATGTTCAGAGTGACTCATTTGTATATTTCTAAATCATGATATACAATCTGGGCCCTGTTTCACGAAATTTTAACTAAAGATAAAATCCAGATTTTAGTAGATACTTCAATTTTGATTGGCTAAGCACTAAAATCAATCTAATATTATCCAATCAAATTACTAAAATTTGAATTTTATCTTAGTTAAAATTTCGTGAAACAGGCCCCCGATTAAAACACAGCTCCTATTTCGTTTCGGTTTTTATAGTTCAAAATTTCGTTTTACTTGTCTTTACTACATTAGGATCTGGTTGATGTGAGGGGTTAGCCAATGAAACGGTCTGTTAATGTGATTTTGTGGCGTGGGATGCACGGAACTGTGGGTATCCCACTAGAAACATCAACACTGTTTTGTTAATAAAATTTCTGACGTCATAGGGTCAAAAGTCGCTCCCATGGCCCCTGGCGCGACCTTTGACTACAACCGGCCAGATCTTTATGTACTGGAGGATATCGAAAGTTAAAAAAAAAAACGAAACGATATGAAGATCTGTGTTTCGATCAGATTAATCTTATATAATTTTTTGATTAATTGCAACATTGCGAGTACATTATTCATTGTCCCTAACATAACTTATAATTTTAAACAAGGTATCTATATTTCTGTAAATATTTTTTTTTACTAGAGATGAATATATAAGTTGTATATGTGAATATCTATTGAATAAATCAAAACTGAAATGATTACCTATCAGGACATATGAACTGAGCAACATTTTTAGCAACTTCGATCTCTTCAAGACTGGCTCCCTAAATAAATAGATTTACAAATTAGAGATTAATCACGATGTAAAAGAAACACATGTGATACATATATAATCCACAATAAATACATTACAAACATAATGTATATGGGATACGTTCACTATGTAGCGCAACGTTGCGACAAATGTTCTCTTATTGTGGGAGCCACGGTGGTTAAGTGAGTAAGACGTTCCGTGTTCGCCGAAAAAGTTCATCGGGATTTTTTGACGTGGTTCCTCCTTGTCAGTGATGCAGGACAGGGGGCCTTGTTTTAATTGGAAACGATAAGAGAACATTTATCAAAACGTCGCACCGTGTATCATAAACCAGTGATTGTATTCCGTTACTTTGATGAATACGGCTTGCCATCATGAAACATATCTATGTTGTTGATCGGAAGTTGAAAGGATATCGGCAAATCCGCAAAACAGATAAATGTTCCTAGGGCCAAATAATGATTGACACTGCTGGGAGTCGAAATGCACAGTCCAGCATACAAATTCAGAAAAATACAGTAACGGCAGCAAGTGGACTCGCCACACGAGATAACATCACAATGGAAACTGGCACCATTTGAGGCAAAATAATAATACAAAGACACAACAAATATAATCACCTTTCCCAACCACAAGAAGACACTGGAATCACTCTGAACTATAAAAACATCGTTAGAATTTAATGAAGCTGCTCGACATGGTACCTTAAAAAAAGTAAAGCAAATAATAATGAAATTTTCTCGCCAAGGCTTCATTACCGTACACACCAATGTGTAAAGGAACCGGCATTTCCTGTTAATGCACCTGCAAGTGGTACCTCTGGCACGTGGAAACAGGACCTAAAAAATTCAGCCGATTTTATTTGCACCACACGCGGAATATTATAGTCACGAATTAAATTCTCTCGTCACTCCACTGTACAGCGGCCCGTTTGAATAAAATAAAATAAGATTTTTTGGTAATTGTTGTGTCCATTTCCCATAGCTAATGAATAGTTGTTGTTCTTGCTGTTTAACGTCCGCTTCCACCGAAGGCGATATCGCAGACAAGTTGTCTTATCTTTATTATGTTAGCGCATGCGTATTTTCTGTTAGAGGAAATCGGAGTACCCGGGGTAAACCCACAAGGTTGAGAGGGCGGCCCGTCCCTAAGCTACATACGCTCACACCAGAGATCGAAACCACGACCGACAAGCTAGAGGTGACCGCCCAGCTAGAGCTCGAAGCGCGACAGTCTAGACCACTAGGGCATCCCAACCCCTGAGATGTATAATAACTAATCCTCTATTATACTATCGTACACCACAATATAAGCTCCTAACGATCTGTGCAGGACGGAGGTCCTGACAAGGACAACTGTCTAGTCCTTCGGATGAGACGAAAAACCGAGGTCCCGTGTATACATTGGAATGCACGTAAAAGATCCCTTGGCAGTTGGAATTCGATATAAGAGTAGGCGATAGAGCCGCTGCTCTGGCAAAATTTCCCTCATAGCACACTGTATGGCGTATGCCCGTCTTCATTAGCCCAGTATAGGAGCAGAACAGTAGGACGTTAAACCCAATTTCATTTCATTTCATTTCATTTCCTAACGATCTGGAAATTAGACAATATCGTAACCCGGCGAGCGAAAAGCGATAATAGTACAATGTCAATGTCCATATTTATATCATATATATGTATGCAGAAGGTGAAAAATACATTAGATCGTGCAGCTTAGATTAAACTTCCCCTCATAAAAATATGACCTTAAACCCCATTTTATTTCATTTCATAAGCACCGAGAATATGGTACTTTATCAGGTTCATTATCACTACCACCCAGAAATGTGATAATTTTAATATTAGGATCCGTATTATTACCACCCAGAAAGATAAACAAGTTGCCATTACCTGTATAGCTCTAGTGTTGACGTCATTAGTACCACGGATATGGTACATCTTAATATTGGTATCCTCTACGTCATTGTTAATACCTCCCATCAATATCAACATTCGTCCTTTAAATAATCGTAAAAAGTGTTCCGGCTCCCGACCCTGAACTACACGAATCTGAATAAAAGTTTAAAAAATAGAAATTACATGGGACCCTATGACTGAGGTGTAACAGTTTACACGAATCCGAATAAAAGTAAAGAAAAAAGAATATTACAACCTTTAGATTAAGTGGGGGACAGACGAGCGTATTTTTTCGCCCGATCGCGGCGATTTTTAAAATCGCTCCAAAAATACGCCCGTGTGCCCCTTCAAGGCGACGATGATTCTGCTCGGGGAACTATTCGCTCGATCAATCGCTCGTATCTAGTATGTTAGATATTTTCGGCCGAATATTTGTCGCCGTTGATTAAATTCGCTCGTGTGCCCGTGTCCAGCGTATATTATCGGGCGATTCATTTTTATAAGCCAATCATCGACATCTTTGATATCACATGATCTCAAAATGGCTGCCATTTTGTACAAGTCACGTGATCGACATAATTACTCACAGAGCGGCGTACGCCCTCTAGACGATCGCTACGTGTGCCCGTTCGTTATCGGCCGTAAAAAATCGCTGGCGAATTTCAATCGCCGAGATCGGGAGGAAAAATACACCCGTCTGTCCATAGCATTAGGTGGCTATGAATAAAAGCAATAGTTCTATGGGATATAATCACTATATCTAATGGGAGCTACGTATCTACAATGATGCTCTTGTCCTGTTCAAGCATAGTTACTTTCCATATGTCCAATTACTAAATGTCGTTTAAACAATATATTATTAGGGCTGTAAATGTTGCGAAAACTTGTCAATGGATACCAGATTATTGCTTGAGAATATGTTATTTTTTACAGAAATACTGTATGATCTGATGAATTTTAGTACATGTATTAATGTTTGATTTTGTGTGAGCTTATCTTTTAGGTGAAAAAACTCGAGATCGTCGAATAGCCCCAATTCAATTAATCGTGGATAATATCATGCGAACAAAATGTTTATTATGGTTAATTGATGTAGTGTAGTTTGGAAGTGATTAGTCGCATAGAATATTCTTTACCTGAACGGCAGCGCCACCTAGTTCATTATCATCTAGTTTTTGAGCCAATATGGCCGAACTTCCCCTTTCATCTATACCACACTTCGTTCCCTGGAGTAAGAATTAACATCAAATCAGAAAATATAAGAAATAAATAAATTCTTAATGAAAGTCATCCGACTATTGAACCACTAATTTAAACGTGCATTATGCAAGAGGTAAAACTGCCTATTGCAGGTCTTTCCTTAGGCTTGAAATGTTATAAACTATTAATTAGGCATTTATTAACATGAAAAGACCATAATCAACTCTCGATGCCATCTTATGTGTGCAATTTTAATTGGATTTGAATCCGATCTGCTGTTCAACGTCCGTTTATGATTAAACGCAAAAATGGATAACAATGACAACCAAGGCTACAGTGATTTTAAAATAAGGTTTTCTCGGCTTATGAGTGAAGCACTTTGACTGAAATTTTCAACATATTCCTTTTACATATTCCTAGCTCTTTATCTAATCTTCCATAGTGTATCTTTAAAGATGCATTATGTAAGAAATAAATCTGGCTATTGCAGGTCTTGCTTTTGACTTTGACTGTTTTATAAACTATTATTCATACATTTATTCACATAACAAACCATGATTAGCTCTCTATAAACCTTGGGATAGTAGCCCTTTAAATGGATTTGAACACCCGAGAGATTAAAATATCTAACGATACAATGGATAATCAAGACTTAGTCTCGGTTTTCAAGTACCACTGCTACGACACTAAACGATCTACGATACTTCTTCAAACATTTATAATTTCGCGCAGAACAACTGACAGCCACTAGATAAGAGAAAACAAAAGAAATAGAAAAAGTCCGCACATTACCATGTTTTTATTAAATATAGAATGAATAAAAACAAGGGAATTTACGGGCTATTTCTATTTTTCTCGTTTTCTCTTATGTAGTGACATTCAATTATCTTTTTGAATTGTCATATATCCCTTCACAGTCTCAAATAACAACTTTTGGTCTTTGAAGGAATTATCAGTGAGCAGAAATTCGCCCGTGTATCTGTTATCGCTCGTTACTTCAGTCAGTTATATAAAAGGGTAACTCGTGTTTTCCTTTTTTTTTGCATTCGTCACTTCCGTTTCTTCAAAAATTTGTTACACATCTATCTGTGTTAAAATTATATTTGGAACGTGTTTAACCAGTTCTATCACATATGTGATAATGGCTGACACCAATATTGTCCCTTAAACAATATAACTATTTCTATTGTACCAACCTGCCAGTAGTATATAATATAACTATCTATATTATACCAACCTGCCAGTAGTATATAATATATCTATTGTACCAACCTGCCAGTAGTATATAATATAACTATCTCTATTGCCTTGTTTATAGGTGTATAACAGAATATAACAATCACCAGTATAAAATACACCATGCATCTCTCCTGGTAATAAAACTAGATCACGATCTTCTACTCTATATATCTTATAAAAAATATATAAAGAAAACGGGGTTTTAACGTCCACTCAACACAATTAGGTCATCTGCCAATAATACTAAATTATGATCTACTATTCTCCATCTATACTAATATTTGTGACTGTAGTTTATTTGTCTGTACGTCTTTTCAGTGTTGGTGGTAATTACACTCGGGCTGTCCCCAGGCGGAAATCCGGTGTATTGGGGTAGTTCGGACGGAGGAGTAACATATATAGGCTTGGTGGCGATGGCCTACCACTTCCGCTTTCGGAGTTCATAGCTATACCCGTATAAAAAATTATACGAAAACGGGTTTTAACGTCCATTTAACACAATTAGGTGACTAACATATGATACAAAGTCATTAGTTTGAAGTGTTGTGCTATATATGCTAGAATTATTATTGTTATTATATTCCAATGTAAATAAACAGCACTATAGAGCTCCACTTATCCCAATGCCCCAGCAACAGTCACCCGATATATTACATTACAAATCTTCCGCAAAAATTATTTGCAAATTCGGATATTTATTTGTTGTATTGGAATTTTAGTTTGGTGCATTACCATCATCGTTAAATTTTGAGCAGGTGTGTAATTTATTAATGAAACTATAAATTTACGCCTCTAGCACCAAGGTCAGCTGTCTAGTCGTTCGGATGGGACGGAAAACCGAGGTCCTGTGCATTTGGAATTCGACATAAGAGTAGGCCGCAGTGCCGCTGACCTGGCAAAATTCCCCTTATAGCACACTGTATGACGTATACCCGTTTTCAGCAGCCCAGTCGGTGCAGAAAGGTAGGACGTTAAAGGCATTTTATTCATTTCTTAGGATTTTTGAATTCAGGTCCGAATTATCGGTGAAGTGATGGGTAAATTGTAACGGGCTTCTGCACGGAGAGGGTATGCTTATTTTATCTAAAGCACCTGTTATCATTTGCATTTTGGTATGGATAAGTTACAAATTTGAATAAATAATTTTACCTTGGTTTCACCTGAACCGTCGTCAGGTAATAAAGCGTCAGATTTTTGCGACTGCATGGAATGTAAATTAGTTACATCAAATTTCTCATCACTATATTCTGTAAAATTATCATATAAAATATAATCAAGTATTGCTAGTTAAAAAAGTTCAGAAAAAAAGAGTATATACTATTATACATCTCTAATTGGTGCCATGTTCGATTCCGGTGTTGACCAAGAAAGTTCGTTGGGACTGTCGTCAGACATGGTTAACCTTTGTCAGTAGTGCAGATTCGTTGACCATGAAGTCTGGGTTCAACCTCGGTGTTGGTCAAGAAGCTACCTCAGGATTTTGGTTTCCCCTTGGCAGCGGGGCAGGTAGGAGGGCCTTTGATGGAAAACTATCTAGTCGTTCAGATGGTAGGAAAACAGTTGGGATTTGAATTAAGAGTAGGCCGTAGCGTCGCTGCCCGGGCAAAGTTTCGCTAATATTAACTGTGTGGCATATTCCAGCCTTCATTATCTAGTTTGATGCAGGTAAGTATGACGCTCATTTCATTTCATTGGTGTCAGGGGCAATATGAATGAATTCTTAGATAGATTAACGTCCACTCTACACAAAGTAGGACATTTCGGAACTAACATATGATTCGATTTATCACAATAATTCGCTTGCGCGTAGGGGTCTTTAGTAGTGAGAGGAAACCGGAGGAAGGTGAGAAAACACACGAGGTTGTAACAGGATACCCTACTCCTTGTCACGTACAAGTGGGTAATCGAAACCAGGTCACTTGACCTTATGATCTAAAGCGTACGTGTGAAATCATTCCCCATCCCCCTGAATTCGTAAATAATATACAGGTGTTAGTTATATATACATACCAGCTACTGATCCTTGTCTTGGAGCTATCCCAAAATCAACCTGGATATTAGCATTGTTCCACGACGAAAAATATTGTTTAAATAATGGCGTTTCGGCACCTTCTACCAATTGACTTATTTGTGTCCATTGTGGATAACTTTTTTTCTTTAAAAATTCCTGTAAATTTAAAATTTAATGAAAGGATTATGATTTGAGACGGGTGGGATTTTATTTGAAGTGGGTAAGAATTTGAAAACAAAATCGATTCTAATCTCATACAACCAAACCAATATAGCTATGTGCAATACAGTGAATTGATATATTATTTGACCCGTGGTCATCGAAAGGGGTCTGGATTTGATGATTGCTTTTGGTAAATCCTGGCAATCGACCGTTCACTGTGATTACTACCAATTGCGTATAAATATTATAAAATGACAAACTATCGATGTATCAGCATACATTGGATTCTATCGTTTTCTAAGGGAGAGAAAAAGAAAAATGGGGTTTAACATCCACTGGACATAGACTAGGTCAATTCGGGACTGACATATGGTTCAATTTATTTTTCAATAATTCGCTTGAGCATAAAGGTCTTTAGCAGTTGGAAGAAACCGGAGGACCTAGAGAATACACTCGAGGATGGACAGGCGACTCTACTCCTTGGCGCGTACAACTGGGGAATCGAAACCACGCTAGTTGACTCAATGACAGACCTTATGATACAAAGCGCACCCCCCTCCCCGTTTTCTTAGAAATAAGTAAAGTCTTTTATATTTCTACATCATGAACGGTATACAAAACGTTCAATTAGACTTACAGTTGCATTTTGCCAAGCTGATTTCTTTTCGTTTTTGGTACATTCCTTACCGACCCAGATGTAGATACCACTTGGTCCTGAATCCAGAATGAAACAGTCCTGGAAGATAAACATTGAAATAAATAAAATGAGTTTTGCAAAATGACTGGAGGCCAAACATCTTCGTTTGGAGACGAAACATCCCTTACATGGGGCGAAACATCTTAGAATAGAGGCATTAAAACGTTGGTTTACCCAAGTTAAAAAGGAACTATCACTCACACCAACAAAATACTTGTAATTGATTTTCATCAATTTTATATTCAAAATAACATAAGACTCACATAAGTACTCATAAGCCCCAAATACAATAGATGTACCACGTGGTTTAGATTAGGATGACGTGCTATAATAAATACAGGTAACGTGTTTTAGACTGGGCTGATTGTTATGTTAAATACAATAGATATAACACGTGTTTTAGCCTCGATGTCGTGCTATGTTAAATACAATAGATGTAACACGAGTTTTAGGCTGGACGGCGTGTTATGTTAAATACAACAGACGCAACACGTGTTTTACTCCAATGCAACGAGTTACATGTTGTCCTTCGTAGTTTACTCATGTCAGTGGTGTCGGACAGAGGCCATGGCAAGGAACAGCGTCTAGTCGTTCGGACATGAAGATAAAATGAGGTTGCGTGTATACATTGGCGTGCACGCACGTAAAAGAATCTTTGGAAGTTGACATTCTATATATAGTTAGCTGTGGCACTCTGTCTATGGAAAATGTTCCTCGAGTCATAGCAGTCTGCGAATGCCCGTACCGTGTCTGAAAGCGAATGCCAACCCCCTCGTACGAGAGAGAAATGGGGTTTAACGCCCACTCGTGACAGACTAGGTCATTTCGGGACTAACGTATGGTTTAATTTTATTTCAATAATTCGTTTGCGCGCAGTGGGAGGAAACCGGAGGACCCAGAGAAAACCCCGAGGTTGGAAGGCAACCCTACTCCTTGTCACGTACAGCCGGGGATTCGAAACCACGCCAATTGACTCAATGACAGGCCTTATGATACAGCGCGCAGGTGCTAACCATTCGGCCATTGACCCCCCACCCGCCCCCATACGAACGTATGCCCGTCTTCATTATGCCAGTTTCGTTCACGTTCGTTGTCGAAATTAGTATTAACTTGTCCCAGTTTAGAATAAACGCCAACGTATGCTAAGGTGATTCAACTTGATTCTACGTTCTGTAAAATAGGTTCGGTTTTCTGTACTAACAAAATCTCCGGGCTTAACACAATATACGTTGATTATACAACTCGTTTTTATCAATAGCTTTCATTAATGATTCACATTACTGGCCAAATCAACTGCAGTCGAGGAATTAGCTAACGTTTTCATCCATACTACAATCTCAATATCCCGACAGGGGGCACTGCGATGCTTTTGAACGTGGGCCAAGAGTGATTAATCCATTACTAGATAATGTCTTTCATTGCTCGGCAGGGGGCGCTAGAAGTATTATACCAGACTTGTAGTGAACGTAATCACCTATTTAAAATAGCGACTTGATGTTAAGAGAATTCTGGGCTTCTTACTGCCTAATTAAATAATTTCATGATACTGATATTACCTCATGCAGAAACATTAGCGTATTACACAGGCATTCTTAGTGTTACCCGACCAGTGGGTGACAGACAGATAAAGAGAATGCAGGTTTGTAGGTACAATATATTGAAAAAAAAACCGATTATATTTAGATTACGGAAGGGCAAAAAGGATGGTACAACCAAGCCTACAGAAATATGACTTATTTTTAACTAAAATAATTTCGAATATTCCGTCTGTGAATTATTAGAGGTTTTGTTTAGTACAAGAAAGGCACAACAGAGAGTAAAATATTTAAAATATTGAAGTTTTACTCATTAACTTACGTTAGAATCCAGATCTTCTCTGTTTAAAGGTTTGCTTCCAACTTCTTCCATTTCCAGACTTCCTGATGCATCAGATACCCTAAGTTAATATTCAATGGACCGGTGTTATAAATTAATTTATCACTTAACGCCGATATATAAAAGGTTATATAACCAACTTTTGAAAAGATTTTTATGAATAATATAGAAAAAGGCTATGTATATATTTACAATTCAGGTTTCCAAAATTCAGAGTTTTAAAGGGCCAATCTCGATTATATTTTGGAGAATAAAACTGCTTAATTTTGTGTGAAAAGCCCTTAAAATCTCTTAGGGCCGAGCAACTAACTCAATAACTTGTTTTCAAACAACTTAAACCCGTCAGTCTTCATCTGGAAATGGAGACCGGTGCCCCAAGCTGTATTATACAGTGTCTGGATAAAATAAGACTTTTATTCCATAAAAATAACGCGTAGGCAAACTTTACCGTTGGTCAACAAGTACAGAACATTCATCACGCACCGTTTTGACGTCTAAAGGAACGGTAATAGATTATCAGGTCACCCGACGAAAAAAATGACCCGAAATCTTAAAAGGGTTACGTGTCCGGATAAGCGGTTTTGACGTTCACATCCAAACGACTCAATATTTTGAGCTGAAATTTAGAGACAAAGTAAATACATGATTCCTCTATATGTTTTGGCGCTTAAAAATGTCATGCGTACACGGACTTTTATTTCTGAGACTTTGTTAAAACTGGGATGATCCCTTTAAATAATTGTTTAATTAAAATTGTACCATATTATGTTAGTCCCAAAGTAACCTAGTTGGTGTCGACTGGATGCTAAACCCCACTTGTCTCCCCCTCCATCTCACCGTTCCCCTTTATAAATTCGTACCTGTAAAGTTTAACGGTATTCTGTTCCGTTCGTTCAAATTCATGATCGTCTCCACCAGTATCCTCATCGCTTATCTGCCCTTCCGATCCCAGAGCTTTGAAAAATTTAGTATCACGGTCCCATTTTTCTTCTGATCAAATAAAACATAAACAAGCATAATAAAATGGCTGATCGTCGTGTGACATTATTAATATTCTAGTCGCGACTATCAAAAATAAATTTAAGTCTGTGTAATGGAGAAAACTAAGTGAAAACATCAAATGGCTATTCGTGGAATAACGTCGACTGTCAAAAAAAACACCAAACAGTTAGAAATCGGTAAAGAATAGGCGGGAACGCCGCTGTCCGGGGAAATTCGTTATCATAGCACACTGCATGGAGTGTGTTCCCTTCATTAGGCTGGTTGAAGCAGCAAAAATAAGCCTTTAAATTTCATTTCGTTTGTTTTCAAGGTGCAGCGGACGCGTATTGAAGTGTTTTACTCTAACACTTGTCCATTGTTGTTCAGTTATCGTGGTAATGCTAAACAACAACAGTTAACGTGGTAATGGTAAACAATAACAGCTAACGTGGTAATGATAAACAACACAGTTAACGTGGTAATGGTAAACAACAATAGTTAGCGTGGTAATGGTAAACAACAACAGACAACGTGGTAATGTTAAGCAACAACATACAACGTGGTAATGGTAAAACACAACAGAAAACGTGGTAATGGTAAACAACAATAATTAAGGCGGGACATGTAATTGTAAACAACACAGTTACCGTTGTTAAAATAGCCAGCATCACCTTACCTACAAATAGCACCTGGGCTTTACCGCCGCGTTCTTCATCTTTGATTATCTTTGCCACTTCAGCTGCCTACAACAAGACAACAATTTAATCAATTATATTTTGCCAGTCTGATTTATTAGGAGTACTGCCAGGGATGTGGCCCTGGGGTCAGCACTTTACAAAAAGCAGAGCAAGATATTGGGACTTTGACATATCCAATTTTGCTAGTAATATTTTATATTGAACAATAGCCATAACACGGTCAGGTATTAGTTTTAAAAATGTCAATAAAACAATAAATAATGAATTCCATACTTATAAATGACCATCTTCACCCGTAATAACCCCCCCCCCCCAAAAAAAAAAAAAAAGAAAACAAAACAAAAAACAAACAAAAAAAACAAAACAAAAAACAAACAAAAAAAACAAAACAAAAAAAAAACCCACAAAAACCCCCAAAACAAACTGGTCTGGATTAACTATAGCGATCATTCAACAAAGCTTCATAATATATCTCTATAATTCAAGTTCATTTTGTATTTGCATTTATCATGTTTTAGGTCTAGGGATACTGACTGGTTTAATAGTTTATTTCTATAAATATATAATTTTTATAATTTACCGAATATTATATCCACTGAAGACAAGGATAGGTCGGAATTCATGATAATATTAAGACAATGAAGGACATTTTTCCATAATTTGTCATTTTTTTCACACTCGACAAATATGTGACTGATGGTTTCCACACAATCTTTACAAAATGTTTTGTTGTATCATGATTTAAACTTAGTAATATTATATAAAATAGTCCCGGGCCGGGCCACGCCCCTGGCCTGTTCTAGCCAAAGAGAATTGGTAGATAGGAAATGGAGTGTATTTAATTTGCCAAGAATAAAAATCTAGATAAATGGTTCCCTTCGCCCTTCTTCTTTAAACAATTTCACTTTACTGATGCGATAACCTGTCGCTTTGCTTTTGATCTGGACCAGCCCCCCCCCCTCCCCTAACACGCATATCACCGATTTGTTTCCGACATTACCGATTTAGATTTCCTCATCCCTATACCTCGACAGCTTGGTGTTAGGCGACTCAACCATCAGCCGGGTGTGAGCATGTTATGCATATAAAAATGGATATGACCATTTTTATAAAGAACTTACAGAATGGGTTCTGAATGGGGAAGTATCTTGATCCCCACTCGGCGGAATCAGACACGTCGTTAGACCATCCACCAAGATCTGATTATTTTTTAAAAGAAACTTACAGAATGGATTCTAAATGCGGGAAAAAATTTTGATTCGCACTCGATGGAATCACACCAAGAGTTAATTATATGGATTTGTATAGTAAAAGAAGTGAGAAAGTTACAATATCGCCAACATTACCTTTAGTTTTTCCCTTTTAGTACTTTTAGGTCCAACCCAGATAAAAATGGTTAAACCAGAATCCAATATAAACACATCACCTTGATTTAATGAGCTAACATCACATTTCACCTGTAATTTATAAACAACAGTATAACTCTACAGTCAGTACAAACCATACATCACCCACTCTTTCAGAACACAAGGCACCACTTCTCATTTGGTCTTTAATAAACAACTACGGCCTCGCAAATTTTCTGTAACCGGCCCTTACCAGTACTTAGATCCAACAAAAACTCACCGGTTTCACCACTTGTTAGCGGTACAAGACAGATTACGGACAATGAAGAGTGTCCAGTCTTTCGGATGGGGCGCAATATCAAGATCGCGATTTAAGTCCTTTGATTTGGTCCTGCATTTGGTGCCGAGGAGCTATTACAAAATCTTGCCTCCTTCCTGCGACCAGCCCACGCCACTTCCCTTATTGTACCCAGACTGAACAGGGTAACCTCGGGCAAAGCATAACAAATAACGCTGGTGGGCATTTTCAATAATGGCTCCAGGAATTTTAGATTAATTAATGTTTTTAGGTGTTCATTAAAATTAGACATTCGAGTATTTATTATCTAAGAAAACAATCTTGTAGGACATTCTGAAACGGTTCTTGGAGATTTAAATTGATTCAGGTTTCAACTGAGAAAATAATATTGGTTGACATATTCTGTAATGATTCCCGTAGTTTTAGATAGATTCATGTCTTTAAGTCTTCACTGCATGAATATCGTAATCTAAATATATTTGACTGTAAGCCTGATAGTGAGTACACAGTTGGCTCGCTAACTAGAGATCCCGGTGTTGGCCGGGAAAGCTCATCGATATTTTCCGGCATGGATCCCTCTTGTCAGTGGCGCAAGAAACAGGCTGCCTGGCAAAGGACAATGCATACTCGTTCGGATGGGACTATAAACCGAGGTCCTGTGTACATATTAAAATAACCCTTGACAATTGCCGCTGTCCAGGCAAAATATCCCCATAGCACACAGTATGACGTATGCCCGTCTTAATTGGCCCCAATCAAAGTAGAAATGAAGTCAATGGATCTATAAATTCTATGAACACGTTAAAACCCTGAGTCAGTTTTCGGGAACTAAGCAACCGCGGCCCCTTGACGCCTAATAAATACGTGTCATCTCACCTGTCTAACCCGGACATTACGTTTTCCTTTAACTTGCATTAACCTTTTTTCATAAACACCTCGTTCTACCTTGGTAAAACCAGATTCAACTCCTCCATCTAAATATCTGATAACACAAAACAACATATCCTTAAAGCTATAGATTCTCCGCCATCTTATTATCTGATAACGTTAAACATTAAACACTTAAAGCCAGATTACTCAATATAAATGTCCGTTAAAATTAACTAGATTCCCCAATCTAAATATTAACAATGATGAAAGCTTCAAGTGATATTGAACAAGACAAGAGGTGATAGGGCGAGAAAATGGGGTTTAACGTCCACTCGACTCAAACTCGGCCATTTCGTGACTATCAAACGGTTCAGTTTTATTTCAATAAACATCGCGTGTGCGTAGTGGTCTTTGGCTGTGTATGTGTGTGTGGGGGTGGGGTGGGGAGGAACGGAGGACCCGGAGAAAACCCACGATGTTGGACGGGGAATCGAAACCACGCAACTTGACTCAGTGACAGACCTTGTGATCTAACGCGCACGCGTTAACCATTCGGTCACCCAACCCGACTATTAAACAAAGGTAAAATCCAATGGGGTCCAATTCCAATTTGCCATCACTAAATGTTCCTCAGGATTTCTAGTCGCCCAGTGTACACATTGTCGTGTACACATTGGCGTGCACATAAAGAACCCTTGAAAATTGGAATTCGAATAAGAGTAGGTCGTAGTACCGTTGTCAGGGCAAAATGTCCCCTCATAGCACACTATATGACGTATTCCCGTTATCATTAGCCCTGCCCGTACAGAGCCGTAAGGGCTAAATCCCATTTTATTACATTCCAGAGATGCATGCCCAATGTTGTTGTTCTTGATTGTTTAACGCCCACTTTAACCGAGGTTGATATCGCAAACAAGTTGTCTTATTTTTATTATCTTTCCCGTGGGAGGAAACCGAAGTACCCATGAGGTTGAGAAGATGCCCCTATTTCCAACCTACATACGCTCACACCAGTTATCGAAACTATAACTGCAAGCCAGAGGTGACCGGCCAGCTAGAGTTAGAAGCGTGACACTAGCAGACTATCCCAACATGCCCAAGTCAGCTTAAACAGTTCAATAGTCGAGTTTGTTTAAAGGGAGATAACTATAAACGGACAACTTACTTGATTCCCTTTTTGAAGTAAGATAAAAATAATTTACTCTCGTGATCCTGAACCTGAAATTGATAAATGTATTACACAAATAACAATACACAGATGAAAAAATCGGGTTGTCAATGATGATTTGTGTCACATATCACGAATATTCGTACTGTTATTTGGGGGGGGGGGGGCAATAACAGTGCTTTTAAAGTTCTCTTTTAAAATTCAGTTACAATTTACAAGGTTTGTGTGTCAGATTCACATCCTTAATGAATGTTGGCTAGAGGATATCAAAACAAACCCATACACAGAATATCAATGGTGTTTGGATGGGTGCGAGTTAGAATTGTGGTGCGTAACGCCGTGCCCCATGTAAGTTAATAAAATTTGGATACATGATTCTTAAAGAAACCTGAACGCTTTATGTCATGTTCAAGAATAGTATTTAACACACGACACTGACTCAGTTTTAATCCATAGGTTAACACACTTGCTATCAAATGTAATCTAAAAAAACATTTTCACATCTAGAGCTTATTCTATTTGTGCAAATGAGTTTAATCGGGCCTACACAGGTAACATCAACGGTAAGTTTTATGTACTCATTTCCCTGTTGCAAAAGAAACTCCTGAAATACTGGCCAATTTTGTTAAAGATATAATGATTATTATGTAAGAGCTAAATATTTGCCTATTGCAGATCTTTTTGTTGGCTTCAAATCTTATATTAAGTACCATTTAGACATTTAGTCAGATGAAAAGCCCACAATTAACACCCTAGACCATCCGATGGCCGAAATTTAAATGGATTTTAAAAAAAATAACTATAATACCGTTGCTACGATAATAAACGATCAGCGCTACATCTTTAAACAGGCATTATTTTCCCCAGAATAAAATAATTTGAATGTTATATTGTATATATTTATTTATCATTATCTCTTTTTGAACTATTATAACAAGAAAGGTCAGTTCGTCATCTAAATCTTTCATAATGTAGCTTTAAGTTGTAAAATATCGTACCGCTAAAGCAAATATTGCATAAGTTAACAGTAGACATACCTCTCGATACTGAACTGGTCCTCCTCCCAGATAATCATCCAACTCCACGGTTTTATAGGCAGCAACCCCCTGTTCATCCTATATAATATCATACAAAATAGATAGTGTTAATCTGAAGAATATCTCCTTATTTCTACCGCCCTTGTCGTTGGTTAGTGCTAAATGATAAGGCCAGCTCAATTTTTCGCCAAGGGCTAGAGCTAATTCCAACCCTAACCCTAACCCTGGACCTAGCCCCAATGCTTACCCTAACCCCAACCCACAACCTCGCCAGCAATCATGTGCCCTAACCTTATTTACATCTCAGCGACCTTGACAAAAATTGAACTGGCCTTAACAAATAGATTTAACCCTTGAGTTCCTTTTCTATAGGGTATCCATGTACAAAATCGTTTGGTCATCTAAACTGTTACTATGTTAAAGCGAGATTCCCCTGTGCTCCCTAGGTAGAGACTGTAGCATGGTTTTTGAGGAATGAAATGTGGTTTCTAGTCAGAGTCCTGTTATATCGTTTATTGAGATCCCAAACCCAAGGTCGTGTGACACGAACACACGCCATATTAATAACAATAATACATGTATGTAGAGTATAGCTTCAAGGCCGGACTAAAGCCGGGGTGAGGCGTGGGGGGGGGGGGGGAGCTAACTGGGCTGCCAAATAAAGCTATCTATCTACCACATACTGACACACACATTGCATTTGTGTGAGTGTGACATTGACATTGATCAGAATACGCCCTCTTTTCACTGTTTTCAGCCAGGAGCCCCATGCAAGCTTAATCCGTTAATCCGGTCATGTATTAAAAGGTTAAGATTTCAGCAGGTCTTCTGCAAAATGCAAAAAAAATATCTGTAGATAAAATGGAGTACTTGCCTGTGACGTGTCTTTTCCTAACCAGAAATGTAAATTCCACTGTAATTTATTACTATTCGGTAACTTCTTCGTCTGAAAATACATACAAACAGAATACAATGTTAATGCCATCAGACGGGGTGTGCAATTTTGCCCGGAAAGTGGCGTTACCGCCTGATCTTAGTTGAATTCTAAAGAACGGCCAAGGGTTCTTTTACGTACACGCCAACGAAATATCAACGTATATATTAATCTTTGAGTGGCATTTAGCGATCTGGAAACACATTAACAGAACACAGTTTTTATGGGATACAATCACTAGTTTTTATTCTGAAAGCACGACGTTTGATAACGATAAGAGGATACTTGTCGAAACATCGTGCTTTTAGAATAAAACTTGTGATTGTATCCCATAAAAACTGTGTATATATTAACATATTTTTGAAGGAAATACATCGTTAACACACAAGACAGACTCGTGACGTCACTCAAGGAGACAGATTGTCTTTTAGAGATACCTTCACAATTTTGTATTTTGCGCGTATTTTTTGGAGAATCCAATATTTTTCTAGTCAGATTCCTAACATATACCGAAATTGCCATACTTTTATTGGAAATGTCTACCCGATAAATACGGCCAAGAAAATGTATCTTTAAAAAACAATATTGGAAATAGCTACTCGATGAATACGACCATGGGAGTTTATCCTTTATAACCTTATTGCTTAATCTTTAAGTGGCATTTAGGGGACGATAAAAAGACACCTGTCGAAACTTCGTGCATTTAGAATAAACCAGTGATTATTTCCTATAAAAATTGTGTTCTGTTACCTTTATTGCTACTTAAACGTAAACAGAAATATAAAATATTTTAATACTTAATGCGAATAACAACAGGGGAGAAGACAACCTAAAAATATTCAATATATATAGCATCATACTTTAAAAAGTAGAATCACGGGTATATATGGAGATTTGCCTTTAGGATATGTGGATTTAGAATGACATATTTGTATCTCATAGACCGTGAAATTTAATTAATGTACATAAAGTCATCCATCAGTCATAGGCCTGCAGAATTCATGACCTAAATATTAGTATTTATTAAAATAAATACATGTCCAATTCCATTTCATGTATTAATTTATTTTGTAAAACCGGTATATTGCATCCGTAAAATGGGTATATTTGGTATTGAGTATTTTACATCTGTAAAACTTGGCATATTTGGTATTTAGTATATGACATTCGTAAATCTGGGCAGGGTCGCCTGTCCAACCTCGTGGGTTTTCTTAGGGTCCCCCAGCTTCCTCACACAGCTAAAAGACCCCTAAGCACAAACGAAAAGTATTGAGATAAAATTGAACCATATGTTAGTCCCTAAATGACCTTGTTTGTGTCGAATGGACACTACACTCTCTTTCCGTGTGTTTGTCTAAATCCTACATTAGTATAGTGGTAAATATTATAATATTTCAAAATCAATATTCAACCTGATATACTAATGGTTTTATAAATAGTCGAGGTCACAGCTGTATAGGGTTGACACCACTTATTATTGACGAATTAAATAGTGTTGCGACTTATATACTTTCTTTATGAATGAAAATACTACTATTATTTGTAACAAAGCGAAGCGATCCAACTAAACCTGCCTGGTATGGATTTTTAAATTTAAGATTAAAGAGAGAGAGAGAGAGAGAGAGAGAGAGAGAGAGAGAGCAAAAAGGAAATTGGGTTTAACGTTCGCTAGACACAAACTAGGTGATTTAGGGACTAACATATGGTTCAATTTCATATCAATAATTCGCTAGCGTGTAGGGTTTATTAGCTGCCAGAGCCAGAGGAAACCGGATGACCCAGAGAAACCCATGAGGTTTGGCAACTCACCCTACAGTTACGTATATAGGGTGGACTTTATATCCCGTTATACGTGATCCTTGAGAGAGTTACTGGTTAGTGCCCCCCCCCCCCCCAATCCACAAGAATGACAAATGAAATGAAATGGGTTTTACGTCCTACTACGCCATACAGTGTGCTATGAGGGAACATTTTACCAGGACAGCGGCGATACGGCTTACTCTCATATCGAATTCCAACTGACAAGGGATCTGTTACGTGCACGCCAGAGTGTACACGGGACCTCGGTCTTTTGTTCCCATCCGAACGACTATATCTTGTCCCTTGCCAGACCCTCTGCCCGGCATCACTGACAAAGGGGAAGCATGCCGGAAAATCTCGATTAACTTCCCCGGAAAATCCCGATTAACTTCTTCGGCCATCACCGAAATCGAACCCGTGACCTCCAGTTTAATTAGCCAACGTCTTACTCGCTAAGCCACTGCGACTCCCACACAGCAATGCCACCTCAGCAATGTATAGAATGTGTTATATAATTGTAAAAACAGATATAATGTAATTTTAGGTATAAACAAATATTATATAAAATGTACTTTTACTTACGTATAGACATATATAAGAATCCCCAGAATAAAAGGTACCATAAGAACTTTTATCTTGAGCAACCACCTTTAATTTCTGAAAAAACAAAAAGAGAACAACAAATTCAAATAAGATTATGAAAAGTTTGCTGTTTTATTGATTTCAAATATATGATTTTCCAGTGGTGAGTTGATTCAAATGGAAATGAAATTATTTCGAATTTCAACGGTTGATGGTTCTTTTACGTGCGCAATGTACCGTGATTTTCCGAGCCATTCGAAAGTCCACACACTGTTCCATGTCAGGGCATTAGTCTCGCACCACTTTTATTGGGAAACCAAGCCGGAAAATCGAATCCTGGGCCCCCGAGTTAGCGATCAAGCACCTTTGTCACTGAAGCACCATGGCTCATATCGCTCCAAAGAACACTTCGTTTTATATTATTCTCGGGTACAGACTTTGTGATTTGATGGTATAATTGAACTAAAAACATATTCAAACTAATTTATCTGTCAACCCCTCTCCAAAGATGCCGCAAGAATCTATTTTAAGAACCCTTTTTTGTCAAGTGACTTGATTGAGGGATACGTCATTTAGAGTATGTATTTGTCGTTAGTCGCTGTCTATTTACCATCAATATCGAACTAAATTGTTTGATTAACCTTCTCACACCCGTTGGCCATTCGATCAATACATGAAGTGTGTCTTTCTTCACTCCAAGAGACAATCTGTCAGTGATACCCTGTCGTTTTTGTCCTAGTATTTGTGTAGTTAGATTGGGTGTCTCTACTTTCCATTACCATACTGTTATTAGAAATAATACCCCGGAGATAGTTACATGGGGATGTATCTTTAGATTCAAATATTGTAAAATGATCATTAGTGAGATAGAGAGAGAACTGAGGTTTAACGTCCATTCGACACAAACTATGTCATTTCGGGACTAACATATGGTTCAATTTTATTTCAATAATTCGCTTGAGCGTAGGAGTCTTTAGCAGTTGGAGTAAACCGGAGGACCTTGTCGTGTACAAGTGGGGAATCCAAACCACGCCACTTGACTCAATGACAGACCATTCTGCCACCCACACTCTTTAAATGTTTATCAGGCATATCCTTCTTCCGACAGGTTGAAACTTCAAGAGGGAAGGGTTTGTATTAAGTAGATGGAAACGTAAGTAATATCTCTATATGGTTATACTTCCGTCTTTCCATGTCAAGTATACATTCATGGTCAACTTACTATTAGACAATCATATTAATTATGAGCACAATAAAAGCTTGTCTTAAAATAGCACATTTACAACTGATAAAATAAATTTAAAGGGAACTTAGTCATTCATATCATAACAGGCTGTTAGTCATTTTTAACAGCAATATCACTCTGTGTGACCAAAATTGGTATCAGGTTGTGAGTGAAGACAAATGAAATGAAGACAGTCACGAGGAAAACATTACCTTTCCTTTGTCGAAGCGACATATTCCACGTGTGCTAGACGTTCCTTGTCAGTCCATCCATATTGTTCTGCCGACAAGGGGGAATCCCGATTGTTAAGTGTAAATATTAAGGCCAACTGCAGATTTGGTGAATGGTCACGAGAGGTAACCTTAGACCTAACCCTAACCCTTACCCTAGCCCGAATCCACAATCTCGACAATCACGTGCCCTAACCTTATTTACATCTCGCGACCATGATCAAATCTGCAGTTGGACTTAATATTTAGACCTAAACATCTCACGCTTTGTCGCCTCATTCACTTAGCCACGGTGGCGGCCGATATACAAGCCGTAACGTAAACCTTTAACGCACAGCATTGACATTATAGATTTATAATATTACAGACAATGAACGGCACTTTAGTGTCAAATAATATGCTGTTTTATAAATGATATCGATTTCAGCGGCTGTGTGAATACAATTATATATTTAAATTAGCTTTAATACCATATTTAAAGATACAATCGTCAGTAAAAACGACCAAATGAAATGGGGGTTTAACATACTACTTTTCTGCTCCGAACAGGGGTAATGAAGACGGGCATACACCCTGCAGTGTACTATGAGGGTAATTTTGCCCTGACAGCGGCACTACGGCGGCAGAACAGTAGGACGTTAAACCCCATTTCATTTCATTTCATTTGTATCGAATTCCAACTGTCAAAGGATCTTTTACGTGCACGCCAATGTGCACACGGGACCTCGGTTTTTCGTCCCAACCGAACGACTAGACAGCTGTCCTTTTCAGGCCCTCCGTCCTGCATCCCCGACAAGGGGGAACCACGCCTAAAAGCGACCAAGTTCAATCAATCGACATTCCTCGATGCCTTAAAAAATCAGATTTAAAAATAAACAACATAGAAAAACCTCTAAATTCTCACCTATCAATCAACTATCGGCAATAGAACTCGGGGCATGTCCTAATAATTGCGTGGGCTTATAGACTATTCTAATTAGGTCAGAAAACATACACTAATACATTATATTAAATTAGGTTTGGTGTTTGGTGGCCGAATGTTGCTTATCCCCCCCCCCCCTCAACGTGCGCTTTAGATCATAACGTATGTCACTGAGTCAAATGGCGTGGTTTTGATTCTCAGCTTGCACGTGACAAGGCTTATGGTTGCCTGTTCAAAACAGTGGGGTTTCTCCAGGCCCTCCGTTTTCCGCCCACTGCTAAAGATCCCTACGTGCATGCGGATTATTGAAATAAAATTGAACCATATATGTTAGTCCAGAAATGACCTAGTTTTTGTTGCGCGGACGTTAAACCCCCACCCTCTCTCTCTTTTTCTCAAGTTTTATTAAAAACTTATCTATTAAAACAATATCTATCTATATTTATTAGCTTATATATTTGGTACATGTCACTTATTTCTGTGTAGCGGGTTCCTTATTGTTGAAAGCTTGAGAGGGCAACCCCTCAACCCCTAGCGTGGGGCACATTAAGGACAAGGAGCCCTGTTGGGTCAAATGGCTCTTGTCGTGTATGTTTAGGGAAATCCCCCTGCATTTCATCAAGTTGTTTTCATTTTAAAAAGAATGTGATATCCATTAATAATCTTCCTTCATAAATATTCATGAGGATATTTATTTATTATTGATATCACACAACAACACAACTCTACTTAGTATATACCAACAATATCAAACATTGTTTAAAATAAACCCATAAACGTGTATAATTATTGTATGACTTATCACTTTTATTGCTTGTTCATGTCGTGAGTAACGCATGGTGGCTCACTAACAAGGAAGATCAACCCCGGTGTTGGCTGAGAAAGTTCGTCATATTTTCATGCGTCGTTTCCTCTTGTCAGTGGTGCAGGAACAGGGTCTAGTCAACCGGGTAGGGACGAAAAACCGCGGTTTCGTGTACATATAAGAACCCCTTGGTAGTTGGAATTAGACGAGTATGCAGAAACGCCGGTGCCGGGGCAAAATGACCCATGTCCCCCGGTTGGTGCCGAGAAATAGAATGTTAAAAACCTTTAATAATAAGATTTAAAGACTAGGTTATACCAGTGTTTTCTAGCATTCGATAAATATTGGGGCCATGGCGACTAAGTGAGTAAGACGTTTGCTTGCTAGCCTGGAAGTCACGGGTTCGTTCCCGGTGTTGGCATAGAAAGTTCATCTGGATTTTCCGGCGTGGCTTTCCCTTTGTCAGTGGTGCAGGACGTAGGGCCTGACAAGGACAGCTGTCTAGTCGTACGGGTGGGACTAAACATCGAAGTTCCGTGTACACATTGGTGTGCGTGTAAAAGATCCCTTGGCAATTGGAATTTGATATAAGAGTAAGCCTTAGCGTGCGCAAAATTTCCCTTATAGCACACCGTATGAGGTATGTCCATCGTCATTAGCCCAGTCAGAGCAGAACAGTAGGCCGTTAAAACCGATTTCATTTCGATGAATCTAGAGCATATCAAATCGCGCAAAATAAATGATCTATTATACGTACAATTAAACGATATTTAGCCTATGGCTTAAATTAGTATTACACTAGATCAGGTTTGGAAGTATTCTTGATTGTCATACTTCACATGGTGAAACGCAATGCTTTAGACCAGTTAGTGACTGATTGACTTACCGCGATTCGAAACAGGAATAATTGTCGAGTATAAACGCAGATTGTTTAAAGTAAAGTTTTAACAAACGTTGAATTAATTATAAGGAAACCAGTCAGCAATTATCAACCATGTAAAATACCCAAAATAGACAGATTGCTATTGTGTAATTATCATATCCTGTCACGTGCACAGTATTTATCACCCACTTAGATTAAACCAGGGAGTAATAGTAAAATATCTTCGACCACGTGTAGATGAATTAGTCATGTTGAACAAATTGTCTCTTCATTTCACAGAAATTAAAAATGAAATGAAATAGGGTTTAACGTCTTACTTTTCTGCTCAGACTGGGATATGAATTTAATAAAGACGGGCCGGGCCATACGCCATGCAGTGTGCTGTGAGGGAAATTTTGCGCGGGCAGCGGCACTACGGCCCCTTATATTGATTTCCAACTGTCATGCTATTTTTCACAGGAGCTCAGTTTTTCGTCACATTTGCATGAATATACGTTGTCCCTTGCCAGTCCTCCCGTCCTGCACCACTGACAAGAGGAAACCATGCCGAAAAATCCCGATGAGCGTTCTAGGCGGCCAACATCAGGATCGAACACGGGACATGCAGATTAGCGAGCCAACGTCTCATAAATTACTTACTCGGATGGGACGAAAAATCAAGGTCCCATGTACACATTGGCGTGCATGTAAAAGATCCCTTGACATTTGGAATTCGTGATAAGAGTAGGCCGTAGCACCGCTGCCGGACAAAATTTCCCTTATAACACACTATATATGGCGTATCGCCGTCTTCATTAGCCCAGTAGCGCGTTAAACCTCATTTCATGTCATTTCACCCGTCTTCATTAGCCCAGTCAGAGCAGAAAAGCAGGACTTTAAAACCCATTTCTTTTCATTTTCATGCCATGTCTTTATTCTCACATGTGTTGTTCGAACTAGTATTAAATATGAATTATCAGTTAATAAATACATGTCGATGTTGCTTTATTAATTCACGATATGCATGTATATAACATATATTAATTCACGTTATGCATGTATATAATATATTACTAATACAGGCTGTTATATAGGTTGTCACTTATCGGAAATAATATAACACAACCAGTCTATTAAAAACCCGACATTTATCATCTTAGCTACACAAATCAATAATTACAATTTATTTACTGAAAATAATTAAAGATTTAAATCTACTGTACCTCAATTCGCCATATTTCTAATCCTTCAATTTGGCCAGCGTTATCAAAAGCTGGGTCTGACGCCATTTTGTCGATTTGGCTCAAATGAGGAACTTATTTAATATGATTGTGAAGTTAATGAAAGTAGGCGTGGTTTCAATATCTATAAATCAAGTGGATTCAACCACCTGTTACATGGTAATAAACGCATCGGTAATTTACATATTCAGGTGTATTATAGTCTTTTGTTATTACAATACCATCTAATACAAGACATTATACGCTATTGAATGTGCTGCACGTTAACGATCCCCTGTATTATATTCTATTATTATTACAATACCACCTATTAGTAGACCTTATACCCTATTGATTATTGATTTTGCATGCTGTATGGAATGTGGTGCACGTTAAAGATACCCTGTATTAGGTTCTATTGTTATTTCTATACCACCCACAAGAAGTGATAAATGAAATGCTCCGACTGGGCTAATGAAGACGGCCTACTCTTATATAGAATTACATCTGCCAAGGGATCTTTTACGTGCACGCCAATGTGTAAACGGAGCCTCGGTTTTTTCGTCCCATCGTCCTATTGACCAACGCAGGGATTGAACACGGGACCTCTAGGTTAGCGAGCCAACGTCATACTCGCTGGGCCACCGTTGCTCCAAAAGACATTATAAGCTATTGATAGTTTTGGTGCAAGTTAAAGATCCCCTGAAAGTTGAAAATCATTGACCACGAGGTCATTACAATATTAAGAGACATTAACGCTGTTAATTGTTGGCTTGCATGTTGCAATCATGGAATGTGTGGCAAAATAAAGATCCACTGACAGTTGGAAATCACTAGACATGAGGTCCTGTCTTAGATCCCAAATGTTAGCTGATATTTTCTTGACTGTTTCCCCCCGGTGGTTCAGGTCGTACAGTTAGGCGGGTCCAGTGTAAACCATTGGACGTACGTTAGAGATTCCCGACAGTTGGAAGTCGAAATAAGAGTACACCGTAGCACCGCTATCAGGGCAAATCGAGTTAAAATGCATGGTGTATGTCGGTCGTAATTAGCCCAGTCGGTGTAGAATTTCTTTTATATGGGATGTCACGTCTACTTAAAACAAACCCATTTTTGAGACTCATTAATTATGTTATTTTACGAAGATTTGGCGAAACTCCGCTGTCCGAGCAAAATGTCCCTCTCCTCGTACAAATTTTATAGTGCTTTTCAAGGACTTGAACAAACCTTTCTATATGTAGGCCAGTGATTATAGGAAGGTAATTAGCAGAGACTATATGTATTTGATATTATTCACAACTATTTTCTTGATTCGAGTGATAATTCGACCCAGAATTTCTAATAGATGCATGGTGAATGTCATGTTCACCATCCGCGTCGGTACAGAGAAGCAGGACGTTACTTATTTTATTTTATTTCACCATTTAACCCATCAAGATCTACTTAAAATTTCCCCGTTATAAATCGAAACGTATCGTATCTTTTTTTCAAATTTTTATTCAGGATGTGTGAATGGAATTGGGGAACAGACTTAGCCTATGTAAAACCCATCTCCCTAGATAATATTAATACAAAGAAACAAATGGGTGTATATACAGAGTTAAAATGGCAAACACATACATATATTATTATATATATATATTAAATAATATGGATGAAAATGTACAGTATATTATATTACAGGTTAGCTACAACCTCGTTACGCAAAGTTAAACATAATTGAAAATAAAATACTAATTGATCGAGATTAAAATCTGTTTGACATATCAATAAACTTGATTAAAAGTATTATTGGTTACGTCTAGATACGTATGGTATCGAATATAAACTTTATATTAGTGATATTTTGTTGGTTGTATCAACATATATTTTTAATAGCCGAGAACTATTCGTGTATATGTCATATTCTGTGGTATTTCAATGGCTGTGCACTATTCATGGTAATATATTGGCCATGTTCTGTGGTATGTGTATGTCAATGGATTAAACTTCGCGGTTTCTTATATAGATAATCTCTCATTGTATATTAATGTGTTCATTGTTCCATACTGTGTATATAATTATACCTTCACACTATGCTTGTCATTCTTTGCTTGATAAAGCCGAGTGTACCGATCGTCAAAACTTCGACCGAAATAAACTTTTAAGTAACTTGTATTCAATATAATTGTGTAATACTCTCGCTCACCCAGAACCTCATATAGTCATCAACACTTAGAATATTCGCCTGAATGATCGAGACTATCACGTTACATGGATAAACTATTTCCCCCTTTATAATAGACAGAATCAGAGATAAATCAAATTTAGACTAATGAATCGTTTTGGTGACTGTATAAAAACCAAAGAAGCATTTGGACACAGCTCACCAAATATTTCTACGTAGGGCGAAAGTTATTTTTAGTCTTTCTCTCCCTTTCCCTTCCCCCCCCCCCCTTTTGCATGGCGATTTTTGTTGACTTTTTGGTGTAGAATCGAAGAAAAAGGTTTGAAAATACATTTTCTACCAGGTTTTGGTGAATATTCATGATTTTGAGGCGGAAGGATACAAGAGTTGAGAGGTTGGTTAGGTTGAAATGTAGGGTCCAAAATTGCATGTTTTCTTGTCTCTACTTCCAGCTTGTGTATATCAAGTTTTCCATGGTGAACCTCATACGTGCTTTCGGGCAAGAGGTTGCCACATGTTGCTCCATCTGTGGTAGAAAGCGTTCTACCCAACGAAAATTTGGGAAAAAGTTAGAGCCGGTCTAAGAGACGAGAATTAACATTAAAGTCAATGGGCAAATATTTAGTGATCTGTGGCCATTTGTATATTCATTTATATCATGAAATAAAGGTCAAGGCTGGATTTTTATTTAATTATTAGTCAGATAATTTGATGTCAGGAGACAACATTCTGAGTTTCTGTTTTTGAATCGGGAACTCTTTGCGTACTGACAGTCTTTGGGTTCTTCTTCAACTTCAGGAAACGCACCTTTTTGCCAGGTTTTGAGGCGGAAGGATAACACAGTTTAGATGGTGTTATGTTGCAATATTATAGGATTCGGCGGATAGTTACATGTTTACTATAGGTATGCTACTTCCAGTTTGCGTATCTTAAGATTTCTATGGTGAACTTTGTACATGCTTTTGGGACAAGACGTTGCTACATGTTGCTCCATCTGTAGTAGAAAATGGTACATTCTGATCAATAGTCATAGTTTTGGTTCCCATATGGATGCAGACCACTATTAAATTTCACCACCCATTGTAGTTCGTCTATTAAATATATATTATGCAAGAGCTAAATCTGCCTATTGTATGTCTTTCTTTAGGCCTTAAATGTTATAAACTATTATTTAGATATGCATTAATGGGGTCTACCTCCATATAAAATGGAGTTACTTCCCTTTAGTTAATGAAATAGCGACTTTGAAACCATCAAGTTGAATCTACAATATGTTTATTATTTAATGAGTTGTAAAATATACATCCACTCCACCCAAACAGAAACCCTGTCTAGGAAATGAAATGAAATGAAATAGGGTTTAACGTCCTACTGTTCTGCTCCGAACTGGGCTAATGAAGACGGGCATACGCCATACAGTGTGTTATGAGGGAAATTGTGCCCGGACCTTTTACGTGCACCGCCAATGTGTACACGGGACCTCTGTTTTTTGTCCCATCCGAGCGACTAGACAGCTGTCCTTGTTAGGTTCTCCGTCCTGCATCACTGACAGGGGGGTGGGGGCACGCCGGAAAATCCGGATGAACTTTCTCGGCCAATGCAGGGATCGAACACCTGACCTCCAGGCTAGTCTTACCCGCTTAGCCACCGTGACCACGCCGCCCCTTCCCCTGCCCCTGTCTAGCAACAGCGTCTAGTCGTTCAGACGGGCGGAAAAACAACTTTTCTTGTACACGTAAACATAACTTAGGCAATGGCACATGGAATTCGACGAAGAGAATGCACCCGTCCCCTCTTTCCCATATACCCCTTTTACTTAGCCCTGTTGGTAGCGAAAAGAAGCGGAAAGAGAGAGATGGGGTTTAACGTCCATTCGACACAAACTAGGTCATTTCGGGACTAACATGGTTCAATTTTATTTCAATAATTCGCTTGCACATAAGGGTCTTTGGCAGTGGGAGGAAACCGGAAGACCCTGCGAAAACCCACGAGGATGGACAGGCGACCCTCCTCCATATCACGTACAACCGGGGAATCGAAACCCCCTTCTCCTCACAAGCAAAGAACAAGTCTATTTTTCACACCCTTCTAGGGATCTGGACATGCAGAGTACAAATTTTGTAGTGCTTTTCAAGGACTTGAACGAACCTTTCTATATGTAGGCCAGTGCTTATAGGAAGGTAATTAGCAGAGACTATGTGCATTTGATATTATTCACAACTATTTTCTTGATTCGAGTGATAATTCTACCCAGAATTTCTAAAAGATGAAGTTTCCATGTGAAAATGACCCTCCGAACCTACCTGATCTGCTTCCGAACCGGTCTGATCTCCCGTGTCGGCCTGATTTCCCGATCCGGCCTGACCCCCCCCCCCCCACTTTAACCCCCCCCCCCCCCCAACTGTTCTGGTTTTCCCAAGCGACCTGCTCTCCTCTCGAATAGGTTCTGATCTCCCGAATAGAAACTATCTCCTCCATAACCGGCCTGATCTCCCCCCCGAACCGACCTGATTTCCCGAACCTGCCTGATCTCCCGAAACGGCCTGATCTTCTCGGCAACCAACCTGATCTCCCCCCACCCCGAACAACCTGATCCCCGCCCCAACCGACCACCGACCTGATCTCCTCCCGAACCCACCGCATCTCCCCAGCCTGCCTGAAAATAGAAAAAACCGGATCGCTCCATAATCACACCCCTTCCAATTCTATAAATAGAAACAGTCCAGTTTTATCGTGTACAAATAATTGATTTATTTTAATATTGATGTACAAGACAACACATTTCTAAAAACATCATAAAACGTTTCATTTTAATGTTTATACAATAAATATTATTAATAACTTGATTAACTGAATATACATCAAACGGTTACATCAACCCTCGGATCAACGAGGTTATCAAAAGGTCAAGGTCGTCAAAGAAAGTCCTTGAACTTGC